TTTTCCGATGTACTGCATATATTTTTTATATCTAACGAAAGATATTACAGGTAAAAAAAAAAAACCTAGGATCGTGTTACGAACATTGGATACCTTGTACTTGATTGCTATTGTACTCTCTCCCCTTTGTGCGGCATCCAACGGACAGCTCACTTTGCGGCGAACATCCATCAGCGAACGCCTTAGAATCGTTGGAACTACAATTATTACGATAAAGATAATGGCTCAACAAAGACTTCTTTGTAATTTTATGGACCTTTCGTTTCTTATAACGGTCACTTGCCAGTATTCCGCAAGAATTCCAAAACTACTGCAGTTACGGAAGCGAGATTGTCTTTCACGCTATCCAAATAACAGATTGCGCCATTGATTGTTTGCTGAATCATGAATGCTTCTCCTCTCCTCTCCTACAATAATTAAAAACTAACAATCGCAATTCATTCTCGAGCTTCCACAACACTCTAGGATACATGAAATTACCGCCGCGCTCTGAAAATGACAAATGTGGCAATAATCTAAGTAGTAATTTTAATTTTAAATCGTAATCCCGCTTACATTTTGCGATTTCTCATGTCGCATGTGTAATTAAATCGCTGTTACATCAAGCCATCCGAAGCGAATCTTTCGCTCGCGATAAATTCATCACGTAATCCCGAATTAATTTTGGAAGCTTAAATCAATTTTATTTTCTATTAATTTTATTTAATCCGTGAAATTCATGGCGGAGGATTTATAAACGTTTCCTCAAATGACCGATGAATCAGTTCTGTCGGAGATCCTTGGGACCGTCCGCGTCATTCGCACCGGCTACGCAAAAAAATCCCGACCGCGTTATTTTGCCGCGGAAAGGTGGCTTTCGTTTTCCACGATTTCCACGAAATGCGTTTTGTCGCCTCGATTCCGTGGGCCGTATTTCGCCGTGGCGGAACACGCGTGTAACGGCGCAACGGAGCGCACAATGTGTAATAACGTTGAATCTCTCTCTCTCAGCGGCGCAAAATGTGTATGCCGACACGAAAATAATCGCGCCAAATTGTAGTGCAGTAGCCTGCGGTTGCAAATGCCACACGCGGGTCGACGGTACCACGTAACTTCTACGACCGATCAATCCCCCCGTTTGCCGGTCTCTAGCCGGCGAACGGTCGATCGAGACGGAAACGTAGGGTGTTTTGCGTAAGCCTAGCAATCTCCCGGGAAATTGCGGACGTTTTTACGGCGGCTAGAATTAGCATGAAAACAAACGCGAGAAGGATCGTTTCGTTGTTATCACAATAATATTTTACAAACGTTATACCGTCTACAAAAATAACGTTTGATCTTCTTTTGGAACGAAACTTGGCGTTTTATATAGATTTTTGGGTACACTAAAAACAATCCAGTAATAAAAATAAATATGATCGTCATATTTGTATATTGTGTAAGAATTTAAAAATAATAAATTCTAAAATTTGCGAAAAAGTATGTGAAAATATGTAATTGTATGTAAAATAGCATGTAATATATTTTACTATATGTTTTGGTGCATATATTATTGTATAAGGTATATAATTATAGCTAATAATTAAGCATATAATTATAACTAATTATGTGTACATAAAAAATAAGGATTTAGATAAAATTAAGCACCTGAAAAACAAGATGATATTTAAATTTTCAGAATACTTATTCGTAATCTTTTCATCGGAATAGAAATACTTAAAATTATGTATTCTGTTATGTATACAATAAAATTTGTAAAGTATACAATAAAATTTGTAAATAAAGTATAATTATATGCTTTTTTATACCGAATTATATAGTATTTTATATCTTTTTGTTTTATTTTTTAATCTAGATGTGATATATAATTTGACGGTCAGATTCGTTTTTAGCATTCAAGAATTTATACAAAACTTAGTGTCTTTTGTTCCAGGATTAGATCAAAAATTTATTTATAAATCTGTGTTATATATTTTATAATAATCTTTGCAAAAAATTATTGGTTTTACTAACATGGAATAATTTTAATTATCGAATAGTTTCATTCAATTTCTAATTTTATTTTTAAAAAGTGGTTAAAAAGTGGTTAAAATTGAATTAATAAGGCTAACCATAAAGTGAATAATTTTAGTAAGACAGAAAAAAATTAAATCATAATTTGTTATATGTAATATATTAACAAGCTTGTTTTACATGCAGGAAGGTTTCTCAGATCCACCAAGCGTCAGCTCCATTAGCAGACTTCTTCGAGGTGGACGGCCAGGGGACGATGGGAAAAAGGATTACACTATCAATGGTATATTAGGTGGCGGTAAGTCAGAATTTCTCCACCTTGTTATATTCTCTTGCTAAATTTTACTAAAGAGGAATTACAAACGTATGATTTTTGCGAACGTATGATTTTCAATGAATTTTGGACGATAAGTCAAGGTCAACTCTCATCCAACCCGAATATCCTTTCGCTCAATCGTTATCTGTTCGCCGCTCGCGAAAGACAAAACGAGTAAAAAGAAAAAAAACGCACGAAAGCAGCGTAAAGTTCCCATCGGACAGTCGAAGGGTTAATTACCCTTTTAGGCTGTCAGCGGCGAGAAAGAATCCCGCGCAGCGGGCCCAATAGCAAAGGCTGCGTCGGCGCGATATCGCGCGAGAAATATGGAACGCAGGAGGAAGACAAGAAAAAATAAAAAGGAGAGACGCGCGATCCATCGTCTTGAGGGGCATCAAGAGCTTTTAACCTCCGCCAGTCCCCGTGGACCCAGTTTGACGTACGCGGGCGTATATATATATCGGGACCTTAAGCGCCTCCGCTGCTCGCCCTCGCTGTTAGGGACCAAGTTAGTCCGAACGAGTCGGCAGACTGGCGGGATTTAATCTCCGGTGGGCGTGAGCAGGATTAGCCAGGTTGGCCACATGTCCGACAAACGGATTACAGAAGTGTCAATATCTTACGGGACGCGGGTATCTTACGGGTTATCCCGCGCCTCTCGTCTCGTGCGTCTCTCATCGTCTTCCTCCTTCTGAGATTTTCGTAACGCGGTCTCACCTCGAGAGATGCGTGCCCGTTTGAAGGCAACCTTCCGCAATGCCTCTGAATACGCAAGAAATCCGGTAATCCCTTTTAGCTACAAACTCTTCGACGAAATTGAATTGAGCGAATCTTTATTATTCTTTATAGAAATATTTTGCTAGATTTCCTTATTCCTTAAGAGGATACAGAATATAAAAATAATTTTATTAGTTACTTTGTAATTCGCAGAAATAAATGGACATATAAATCTCTAAAGTATAACTGATAAATATATATCGTCTTTACTTAAAACTGTAAAACTGATGGAGGAATTTATCTTATTTCATATCTATCAAGTCATGTTGCTCGTAACATAGAAAATAATATAGAGGAAATATAAAGTAATACAGAGATAAGGATTAATTAATATTGAAAACATGCAAGTATGAGTTATATCAAATCTTTAAAGTGTAATGGTAACATTTCCTTATAGATACTACAAATTATTGCAAGTTATAAATAAACTTATTAGATTGCGTGATTTTAATCGTAAATACCTGCCATTTGATTCTTCTTGATTCTGATCTCCATCTCGCTTTGATTCCTAAGCCGCGGGCGCACACGATCGGCTAGATATTCCAAACGCGAAGCGGGAATCTGTTTTCGTGATTGATACAGGTAGACACGGAGGAATTAGCGGTACAGGTGTCCCAAAGTCTTAAGAAGTCAGGCCGGCGAGGATGCTGCCGGGGTCGAGAAAAGATCCTTCGATCGCGGACCGTCGAGAATGTGAAGAAAGAGTCGAGAGCCAAGAGGCAAGAGCGGGCCTCAAGGCCCAGGGGCTCCGCGAGGATCCCGCGGAGATCAAACGGGCCGCCTGCCACACGTCGACAGCGGTGCTCATTCGCGGCTCCCCGCCGTCCCTGCGACGTTTCTTTAATCAGTCTAATCGAGCAAATTGGTCCTATTTACGTTGCGCGCGTATCATTTCACGCGATATTTCGCGCGAGTATAATCGTTTCACTTCGCGACACACTTCGGACCGTCACGCGAGGCTGGACCGGGGCCGAAACGAAGCGGAAGAATACGGAACGGCGGTAAAAATATCGCGCGGCCATAAATAATGACCAGAAGCACTCGATAAATTTTGAAAAATAATAATTAACGTCTCTCGAATCAGGGCGCGAATTTTACCGGTAAGAAGGCGCTCTTTGAGGAAACTGCGCTGGCCGCGCGCCGGGCAAACCGCGAAAACCGTCAATTACAGATGCGTATCGCTTTCGGCACGGTTAATTACGCCCATCTCGCGATATGTAACTGCCGCACGCGCTTCATAATTTTTCCCCAAAATTACGACGATAGAAATCTCGTCCGCGCTCGCCCGCCCTCGTCCTCGTCCTTGCTGAACTCGCGCAAAAATGAATAATTATTTAACGAGCGGGTACGCATTCGATCCCATTCACGCCGCCGTTTATTCGTCATTAACCGTTTTCGCGGTCAGTAAAATTGATTAACGCCGATCGGCCGAATTAAAGTGTCGGCGATGCAATTTATCCACGCCGCGCCGGGTCCCAATTCACTCATGCGAATTTCGAGACAAAAGCGGCATCGTCTTTCACACACCAGTGAATATAAATAGACGCTGAAACACATGCGGCCTTTACGACTTCCTGCCATTAATATCAAACGAAGAAGAAGTATTTAAAATGCTATTAGAATATTACGAATACCATTATAAAACAGACATTTTTTTCCATGAAGAGTAAAATATTAAAACTAACGATAAGGAAAATTCATAAATAAATTTGTATAAAAAAAAAAAAACATGGCCGGAGGGAGGCGATTGAAATTTTTATACGCAACGATTACCAGCGAATTACCGAAATTCATATCCAAGCTCGATTCAATAAAAATATAAGAATCTGCAACAGTCAAATTTCCACTCACTTTTATTTTGCGAGTGGTGACACGACTTTTACCTGAGTGAGTCTGATGAATGCCGATTAATTCGAACTACCTGCTACTCGATCTGCTCCCGATTTGCTCCGATTTACCTCATCCCGCTTTCCAGATAAGGGCCGAATTGCGCCCGGCGCCGCCGTGCGGTTGAATAACTTACAGGCGCGCGGAATAGGGAGCAAGGGGGCGAATCGTGATAGGGAGGCACCTCTGGATGGATATACTCGTAGTATGGCGGAGGTGTCGGTCGGGGTAGTAGGTGTCGGCAGGCAAGCAGGAATGACACGTAGCCTGTGGCTTTCTTATTCCTTCTTATTCCGTTCCTTTGGCCTCGGCCGCCGACGAGGGATTAGCCTAATGGGTCCTGCCCACCCCCCCTGCCCCATCCCTCCTCTCTGCCCTCATCGCGCTGCACCGACACACGTGTATAATATATATATATATATATATATATATATATCTGTCTTATTCTTTCTC